TCAACGAGCAGCAAAACAAGGTCGACTCCGTTTATGTGCGTGTCTCTTCCACGCCGAGATTTCATTTCCTCGGCGGTTTGCCATTTTCCCTGAGGTGTGGTCCAACACACCCCGAGTTAGTGGTCATGCTGGTCGCCACCGGTGCTGGGCACTCGAGCACCTCCGTAGAGCTCCTGGTGGGTGAGTTCCCTGGGGTTCTCAGCTGTCCCCTCTGCCCCAGCCTCCACAGCAGCCGAGACAGTAAATGATGAATGACATTACAGCTCTAGAATGACTGTAGACACGGGTGTCACCATCGAAGACCTGAAGAAGGCGGGGACTAGGGTCCCCACCCGGTCCCTATTCCACTTCCCTGCCTAGCCCTGGAAAACTAGCTAGGTCCTGGCCCCCGGGGCTGGCCTGTCATCAACTCAGCAGGTGACATCTCTAAACAAAGCTGATCCATGGGGTTCTCATTGCAGCAGACAAGCACATTCGGAGATACAAACGGGCGGGCGGGCCCTGCCAGGTTCCAATGAGAGGATGCTTGATTGACGACGACAAGGCCGAGCCACTGGGGTTCGAGCCACGGTTCCCGCACTGGGACGAGCCCACAAAGCAGGCACTGGGGCCCAGACAAGGAGCGAACCCCGTTACCAGAACAGGAGCAGTGCTGATGTGAGACTGGGGGGTGCGGGCGCCGTCCCCAAGGGAGAACCCAGACGGGGCTTGTGCTCCTTGGGGACAGCAAAGCTGAGACTCCACAAAGGACAAAGTGGCCTCAGCCACCAGGAGGAGTGTAATGAGCCACCGGGACCTCAACAGGGTGTAGTGACCAGGCCCGGTCCCCTCTCCGCAGCTGGGCTTTTAAGTTCATTTTGTCTGTGAATTTCTTCGCATATGTGTTTAATTTTTATGTCTATCTTCTAGCTTTGCTTTTGGGGCTCACTGTTAAAGAAGCAATTTTTAGAGGATAAAAACCGCCTCTAGCACTTTTTTTCCTCTCTCTTTATACATAGAAACGCTGCCCAGAAAACGCTTTGCAGACCACTGGCAACGGCCGTGACTGAGGAATTAGCGACCTTTCTGAGAAGTTGGCACATATATTCATTTATATCAACACATCTATGATTTATTCGTTCAATACATATTTACTGCCTACTGAATGCAAAGTGCCCACTGTCAAATTAGACAGGCTGTGTTGTACCCCAGCTCGCCCTTTTTACAGAAAGTACCTATTTCTTGAGATGTTAAAAGGATTGAGCTAATTCATGTAAAGCATAAAGCACAGAACCTTGCAATAGTAATTTGCTAATTTATAATAGCTACTACTGTAACGTTTACATTTCTTAATATTAAAGATAAAAAGCATTAAAATCTGGCTACAGTCTCTGGGGAAGACTAGACTTTAAAACAAATAAATGTAACATGGAGTCGTAGGTGTTACGGGAAAGGTACATCCAGGAGTCAGAGGGCTCAGTGATTCTGCTTGGAGAGGTCACAGGAGCCTCGACAGGATGAGCAGCTTTTAGCTCGAGGTCAAAAGCCGAGGAGCCTGGCAAGCGGCCACGCAGAGGATGGCGCAGGCAGAGGCGCGTCTTCATGCCAGGCGCGTCAGGCCGGGGGCGAAGCTGGAGATGCACCAAGGGCGGCCTGGCCCGCAGCACCGGCCCCTCCGCGGAGGCTGGGGGTGGGGCACGTTACTGAGGGGACTTTTAAGCCGTGGAGACTGGAAGATCGTTAAGCCACAGAGAAACACAACCCACCTTTTATAAAAATGACCCCGGCAGAACGGTAGAAGTTGGAGCTGGAATACATCGGGAAAAGGCCGACCAGCAAGCCAGGGAGACCCCGCGGGCAGGAAGGCTGGGGAGGGGCCGTCGGGCTAGATCGGGAGGGCGGGCTGGGCGTCTGCCTGGCTCTGTGCTTTCTGACTGGGGTTCGTGCTTCGCCTTGGGCGAGACACCCAGGCCTGTATCTCTCTCTCTCTCTCTCTCTCTCTCTCACACACACACACACACACACACTGGCACTGGCGCTGGCGCTGTCTAGCCACAGGGTAACGTGGCATTTGGAAGACCTTCGTAACTGTCCCCGGACAAGCCACTGCTCAACCTCTAACATGGGTCGCCTTCTCTGTCCCTTCCACTCGCGTTTTGCTCAGCCCCGACTGGAGCAGAGTTTCTTAAAGCGAGCTACACTGACCATGTTTCGGAAGCATCTTGCAGGCTGATTAAAAACGCCAGCTTGCAGACCCCACCCAGCAATCGCCCGCCCCGGAGGTGCACATCAAATCTGCACTTTTTACACCCTCCCTGGGGGTGAGGGTGGGAGGGACCATTGGCTTTGAGAACCCCTGAGGAGATCACTAGACGAGTGGCTCTTTAATTCAGCTCATCATCTAACTGGCTTGAGAAACATCTTAAAAATAGCCTTGGAGGCCCCACCCCTCCAGAGGTCTGAAGAGCAGTCTGGACACAGCGAGGGCCATCCCCAAGTGGGGCGCTAAGCGGATGTGGGACCACTGTCTACATCACCCTCCTGGTAAATTCCCCTTCTGCTTCTGGAATGGATCAAACCGTCACAAACTCGTCCTGGTGTAATGCACGGGGGGCGGGGGGTGAGTTGCCATTGGATTGACTTGAACTGCCATAGAAAGAGTTTGGGAAGCGAGAGGCTAAGAGGAAAGAGGGGGGGAAGGGGGAGGTCTCTCTCCCAATTCACCGTTAATAGAGATGAGAAGGACCAGCTACAGGCCGCAGCCCGCCTTCCTTACAATTACAAGGTGCGCATGTGCCAGAACCACCCCCCGCTCCCCCGCCAGGGGGACAAAGAACTACCTTCGCTCTAATCCTTGACCAGCTCCTCTCTCATTTGCCTGAGACTTGGGGGGACCCCTTTCAACCACTCAGTGCCCGTGCTTCCAGTCCACAAAGCCGGGATCATCATGGCCCCACCTGCTCGTCCCCAGGCTGTGTGGGGTAGTTCGGGCCTGAGCAGGATCTAATCCAATAATGGCCTTGCTTGGGATGGGGGGAGCATTGAGATGCGGTAAGAACTTCGGGTGATGAAATAATAATGAATAATCACACGTGTTCAAAAGATGAAAGAATGGATTCCTGGCTCTGCGGCAGAGAGAGTTTCTGTGACTCAGAGTTTTCACCTCCTTTACCGTGGGGGCACAAGCTGGCAGGCTTCCAGCAGGAGGGCATTAAGAACTGGCAAGTGGAAACGAGTGTAAGATTTTGCTTCGGGTCAAGTGTGAGGCTCCTCCTGATTCCTATTGTTTGAACATACACGTAGAGACGATAGTGGATTATCCTTTCCACAGATGGGGGACCAAGTGGAGACTTCGTCTTGAAGCACAGATTTGCCAGCAACGGGGCCGCCCACCCATTCTGCCTGGAAATTCCAAAAAAGTCTTCAAGAGAGCAATCCCGCCATAATCTAGAAGTATTTGGTCCATAATGATTAGGGAAGGACCAGTCCGTCCTCAGAGTCAGGAGAGATCTGCTCAGGCATCCCTCGAGCTGAGTTTTGCAGGATAATATAAGTTTGTCACACAGCAGGAGGAGGGAACAGGTGTTCCAGGGAGCATGATCAGGCATATACGTGCGACGATTTAAAAAAATCACGTTTTGGTGCCAAAAGTGTGTGGGAGGGTGGAGGCAAGTGCATAAGGTGTCTGGGTGTGGGGACGGGCCATGAAGAGGGTGGATCTCACGCTGTCGGTCACACGAAGGCTATTGCCAGCAACAGGAAAGTCATCAGGCCTTTCCAGCAGGGGAGTGAGTTGCAAAATCAGATTCGAGTTTCAAGGAGGTAACTCCAGCTGCCGTGCGGCTTCGTTAGGGAGTGGCTGGCAGTCGGGACTAGGCAATCAGCTAGAAGGCGGCTACGATCAACGCTAATTAAAGAAAAACGGAGACCGAGTAGCTTCACCTGGGGATCCAGGGGGCAACAGACGTTCAAGCCATTTGACGAGGGTCACACGGAGAGGGTTTCCCGACCCGTGCTCCTGGGGTTCTTCCTGAGCCAGTCTCTTTGCTGCCATTTGCTTCTTTCAAACATACGTGACCTTTTATCTGCTGCTCCTGCATGGCCGGCGGCAGACCTCCTTCTCGGAAACACCACTACGCTAATCACATCCCGACCTGCGTCGTTTGTAAACTTGTCTGAGCTAGGACTCCTTCCCCACGTGGCATCCAGCTTTCAACATAGCGGCCTGTCACTCCACCTGCATCGAGTACGGCCAAGCTTCCGTCCTCACCGGGGCTTTGGTCCTGATGAGATGAGTGGCGACATGCAGAAACTTCCAGAAGACCCTTTCCCTTTCCAAAAGAGCCGGAGCCCGAACGGGGCACACCGGCGACCCACGTTTCCCGCCCCAGGCCCCCACCGTGGCCTTTAAGAGCTTCCCCAAAGTGTGGGACCCCCAGGAAGAAGACACACAGTCTCCAAGGCTGGTCCGCTTACGGGGGAGGAGAAAAAAGAGGGGGTGAAAGGGATAAGACAGTCATAATTCCTTTCGAGCCCCCCATTAGTGATTCCATGGTTCGGCCTTAAAGGAGGGGACCCTCAGGGCACTGTTTTTGGTGGCCCCTCTCTCTGGTCAACGCTGGGAATGAGGAGGTGACTGGTCGCTCACCTGTGGGCCTTCTGCCTTCTTGGGAGCAGGACTGGGGACCCTACTTTCCTGTGAGCGCTGCCGTGGTTTACGTATCGTGCTGTGTCGTCTTTGCTACTAACTACGATAAGATGAATTGAATCCTCATTCTAATTACTTTTTAAAATTTTGTGTTGGTCTTCATCGTTTTAGAGAATTTCCACACTGTCTCGTCTGTCCTTTCCATAATCTCGTAAATAATCAGAAGTCTTAACGGCCCCATTATGATCCTTTGGAATGTGGGTTACAATACTTGGTTCCTAGCACCCGAAGACCGTCGGTGCCAAGCCAAGGCTCAGACCCCGGGCTTTGGACCAGTACCCTGCTCTCTCCGACCTTCCCGTGGGGCATCATTCTAAGAGTCGTACTGAAGAGCCGGGGCCCGGATATGTGTGGATCCTGGACAGGGGTGGCAGGCCTCTTTCCGCTTGTGAAGGAATTTTCGAAAACTGGGAGAATGGGTAAGGATTATTAGTGATGGGATACGCCAAATATTCGTCCATCTACCCAGAGCTGAGAAAAACATCAGGATTAGTCTTAAGATAAGAACGCGGTACAGGATGTTACCCGATCCCTTGTTATATCAGAACACCATCTCCCGAATGAGATTCACGAATTTGGGGAGCATCAGAGTGCCTTGCAGAAAAACGGAGCGCCCAGACCCCACCTTCGCTGCTGAGTCAGAATCCCGAGGATTTAAGCCCAGAAACCTACATGTCTAAAAAATCTCTTCTGAAAGTTTGAAAACAATCATTGGACTAAGGAGTCGGTCACTCCATTTAAATTCTCCAAATACAATCGTGTCATCTGCAAAATGAATAGGAGCTTGGAGCCAGGAGGCTGGGTTAGATAATCTCTTCCTGCCTCACGGTTAGAAAACTTGCCGTTCTGGTATTTATTTTCCTCTTTGATCATTACTCATGATTAATTCCTGCTTCCCCCAAATTCCCTTCTCCGGGCCCTCATCTCACTTAACAACCCGTCCCACTGTGAAGTGGTTCCCAGCCGCTCCCACCTGAGCTCACTCTCCTGTTTGCCCTGAACTCCCAAAGCCTTTGGAGTTCTGGCGCCGATTTGGCCTGAGTAGAAGCCGTGGCTTTGTGGCGACCACCTTTGTTAGGTCTGCATCGTGACTTCCACCTGTCCTTGTCGGTGACAATGATGCCGACCCACACTACGTAAACTACCAGTTCAAAACAATCTTAGAATCAATTACCTTAATATGCAGGTGCAATCGTGGCGAAACAGATTCTCTGAGAAGTCTGCCAAGCACAGACTTCAAGCTCAGTCTCTAACAGATTTGAACTCGGAATAAAATTTGAAAAATCCCAGACAATAAACATCTAGGAAAAACAAAAACAAAAACAAAACGAGACAGAGAAATGCAAAATTTAGCACTAAACGTATCAGAGTCTTTCAGATAAACCCTTCTGTAAATAAATGGTAGACATGGTAGAAATGAAGCGGTGATGCAATGTCTTTCGAGAAGGGGTCAGGAGAAGGTTTGCTCATACACTTAAGTAGAGATAAGTAGTAGGAAGAAAAGGCGAGAAAGTCAACACCCTGGATGATCTCGTAAGCCTCTGTAAGTAAAGAACATAAATCTAAAAGATCGAGTGGGCAGAAGGATGGAAAGATTAAAACAGAGATACATGATAAAGAAAATTGATCAGATTTCGATAGAAAGAAATGGCACTGTTTAAGTGACCCTTCCTACTGCACACAGAAAGTGCCAATTCTTCATTACAGACATTGAAAGAATATTTATAGAATTCTTGAGATCAAATTGTTCTCCTACCCATTCAGCCTTCTGTAACTTGCAATATCTTTTACAGTAAAATATAGCCCGTAATTAGAAATAATTCTGGGTTTAGCCATAATCCCAGGAGTAATGCTGACAGCCTGACTCTTCTCTCAAAGCCCTTTATCCACCTACCCTGTTACTTGGTATGGAGGGCTAAGTCTTGAAAATGTCGTAACCCTGGGAGAAATTACTTAACTTTTCTAAGGTTCAAGTATAAATGACCTAGTCCACTGACACAGAGTAGGCGTTCGCTACCAGTCGGAACAAGTAGAAGAGAGATTTTAACATGAGGCATTGCCGAAGCTGGGATTAGAGAACTTAAAAAGTTATGCAGAGGTAACTCAGGGGTAGGAACAGCAGGAGCCCGCTACTCCCCCTGTGGCTGCAGAAGCAAAGGAAAGAGATGAGGTTTTAGAATTTAAAAGCTGGGAGAGAAGTCTCCCGCTCCAGAGAAAAGAGAGGGCACCATGCCGAGCTGGTGTGGGTGCCCGCAGGGTGTACGGAGGAACTGGGCAATGAGTGAGCTTGCCTCATCTGTCCCCTTCTCCCAGGGGGTCCCTGTTCTATTTCTGCGAAGTCTTGTGTCTTGAAAATCATCGTTTCACATAATCTGTCTGTTTTCCGGTTGTTTCAGGTAAGGGGGGCAAATCTTGGCCAGAAGAGGAAGTCTCGAATGTTTCCTATATAAATAAATGAGCCACTTTGGGGAATCAGTTTAGTTGGTTCTGTTATTGCTTTGTTTAGTTTTTCAGTGACTTTATAAAATCTGGACGATCGTTTTGGCATGGCGTAGATGTGATGTCATCTAATGACATGCATCTTCCTCACGTCTAAGACTTAAATGTCTGAAATCACCCTTACCTCTCCCTTTTTTCAAATTCGACCCGTCAGTAGATTCCGTTAACTCTAACAGAAATATATCTCCAAGCCTGCTGCTCGTTGCCATCCCCACTGCAAGTCGCCATCATCACAGGCCCGGGAGATCATGACAGTTTCCCTACTGGCCCACTTGACGCCTGGCTGGGTCCCTCGCTCAGATGTCATATTTTCGGTAACATGACTGCAAAGGTTTCTTCAGACTGCTGGCAGCAGTGGTTTCCAGGAGCCGTGGTTGATTTCAGTTCACGGCTTTCTGTCCCTCTGAGGTCCAGACTCATGTCCCCACATCAGAGGCACCAGCAGCCTCCTTCCCCGAGCCTGGGTCCCACCCCCACGGAGTCTCCGACAGAGGTGGCCAACAGCCGTCAGGAAACGAATGAAAGATATCCTCTCGGGCCTTCCCTGAACGTGGGAAAGGCAGATGACATCACACGTGGGGGCTTGGGACTTTCCACACAAAAATGTTTGGGGGGAAAAAAAAAAGTTCAAAAACCAAAATGTCAGAAAACCGTTGGTAACCAAAATGAAGTCCATACGGTTTGCAGGATAGGCGAAGAAGTGCTCATCTTCCGAAACAAGCAAGGTACAATTCTTTGCCTAAAGACTTAAATGAGTCTCTGCCAGCGAGAGTCGCATTTGCATGTGGCGCTGGGCTGAGATTCAGGATACGTGTTTAATTCGATGTCATAGCTCATCGACACTTCAGTCCAAGGAGGTCTAGAACAGTGATCTGCCTTCTCCTTTGGTTTTGTTTACAGGATTCCATGTAGCCCACACAGCACACCGGTGGCCAGTCAGAACTGGGGCGACCACAGCCAGACCTTGTCACCTTGCTCTTCAAGGTCCTCTAGTCTCTTAAACGAGAAAGGCTATTTTGCAATTCCCAGAGCCCGATCCCCAGCCTCACACTTTTGGCACATTTCTGTGACATCCCTACACTGTCATCATAACAATATCCCGAATTTACAGCATAAAATAGTATTCGCAGCCGATCCCTAAGCACGATTCTCATCTCTACACGCGAAGCTAAAACTGACCAGACCTTGTATGTCCCTCGTCCTTCCACTCTGGTCTCAGGTTTTATCGATTTCTTTGGCTTAGTGCCTTGAGCGAGAAGCGCCTGACGAACCTCTCACCTCTCACCTCTCTGCAGGCGATGGGTTAGTACGACCCGGCTGCTTCTGCCTCCCGTCCCTCCGGCCCCCGGAGCAATCCCTCTCATCGGTGTCGGGCCTGAGTCTCGGTAGGGCAGGTTCCTCAGGCTTTACGGGTTTGGGTTACTGGTCTGAACCACACACTTACTTATCCTGCTTATGATTACATAGAAAGACTCCAGAGAAACTCTAACAATTTTTATCTTGATTTCTGGAGAGGCAAGTGTCCCTGCCCTACCTCAGTCCCCTGCGTTATGGCTGCGGGGTTCATTGCTCGCGCACCTGGGTTCTGGGTCCAGGCCTTCCTGAGGCCATCGGGCTCATCCTGAGTGGACACCGAGCCCATCCAGAGCTGCTTTCCCACCTACGAGATAAAGCGATCAGCCCACCTGGTTTCTAAACCCCGGCTGCCCGAGCCGCTCGCGGTTCGGTGCTGACAACGCAGAACATTCGCCTTGCCGGCCGCCGCGGGGTACTGCTCGATGTCTTCTCTGCGCAGACAGTTCGCTGTCGTATCAGACCGTCCATTCTTGCTCCGCTTCCAAACCCGTTCGTCATCCTTCCACACGCAGCCGGGGCGTGACCTTAAAGCGCACTGCGCCCCCACTGGTTTATTAAAAATTCAGTACCATTTTCCCAACGTAGTGCAGCCAACGTTGAACTTAATGGATTCGCATCTATGCCTAATGAGAAAAAAAACCAGCTCGAAACACCTGTCTGAACACAGTGTGGCAGCCCTGTGTTGCGTAAGACAGGTCATCCTGCTTCCTCAGAGCCGTCGATGACAAGTACGACTGGTCACTGTCACGCGGGCCCGGGCCCCTCATACGAGCAATCAGAATACTTCACCTGAGAGTTTTATTTAAACGGCCTCAGCAGTCGGGGTCGCAGTTTGCGGTGCTTACGGGTTGGAAGCTGAGTTAGCTTCGACTCTCTCATATGTCCGCGTGCAGATGACACTGTTCACGGCACTTTCCTGGAAGACGAGAGAAGAATGAGATGTTTCGGCCTTGGTGGTTAACGTGGCATTCGGAAAAATGTAAACTAGGTGCTAGCCACACATACATCCCTTAAAAATCTCCAGAAGAGGTCTATAGAGACGACTATAGATAGCAACTATTTATTGGCTGATTTTTCCATATATATTATAGAGTATATTATATATTACATATGGGATAGATGGTATAAATATAGTATATAGGTGGAATGTGCGTATGCACGTATTTGTATATATACAAAGATTTGTAAGAATTTAAAGCCTATTTGTAAGAATTTAAACCCTACTAAAACATTTCAAATACCTACGCTGAAGCGTTTTTGCTGTTTTACATACTCTACATTGTTTGAATAATAACAACTAACATCAATGTAGTATTTTATAGTTTTCAGATCACTGCTATATACAGGATGGTATTTAATTCTCTCAGAAAAACCACACGAACATTTTCTACATTCTGAAGGACAGGAAACTAAACCTTGGAGAGGATGAAAGACTTTTCCAGAGCCACCTAGAGAATGAGTGGCAGAGCTGGCAATCCACGCCTTTGGATCTTGAATCTAACATTCCCCCCAATGAACTGTAAAACCTATCTGTTTAGCGGTTAATGTCATAAGCAGAATAAAATCAATTATTCTTAGTCCTACACTTCTTTTCCATAAGGACATGTACTCTTCATTGTTGAAAGAAAAAAAAATATTCCCACATTAAGAAACGAGGGTAGATTTTTTTTTTTACCTCCACATAATTCTTGCATATTCCCTTAGAATGATTTTATATTATGTCCAAAATAACCATTTTGTTCACTGTGGTGGAGGTGGGGCTGGGGAGGAGAAGAGGCCGACAGCTTCCCTCCGCTCTGTAAGGCTGGGAACGGTGACCCGGGACGAAGCAGGGTGGGTTCGTCAAAGTGCAGAGTTTGGAATTAAACCAACCTGGAGTTAATTCCACCGCCACGTTTCACCCGCTCTACATCCCCCGTTGAAATTCCCTTCCCATGTTTTTGTTTGGCATTGCTCTGGCAGACAGTGAGAAGTTAATTCTGGTACAGGGCCGAGGGTAGCAACGCTCAATCTCTGTTAAGATCTGTACTGCACAAATACATGCTTGTTTTGCCTTATGCATAAGTCAAAGGAGTAGGCAAGACAATTTTTTTAATTCTCTTTAGTTTTTTAAGTTCCTCAGCTCATGCACATTTGATCATGTTTATGGTCATACATTTATCTGCTGATGCTTCCCCCTATTTTCATAAAGCGATACGAGAAGAAAAATGCCATTCACCTCTGTCGTCTTAGAACAAGCTATTTGAGTGGTTTTACATACAGATGTCACAGTGGGTGAAAATAATGATGAGAGACAGGTCACTCACCACCACCATCTTCCCATCCGCCACCGTTCTCTTTACGGAGATCTTCTTCCCATCCCAGTCCTGAATCTGGATCAAGGAGTCGTTATCTAAGGTTATCACACTCTGAGAACCAGACAAAACCAAACTCAGCTCAGACTGTCAGATTTGAACTGTAAATTTTTTTCAGCTGTTGTGATATCTCAGTTTTTGAATGGTGTTTACAAATCCATTTATTTTAAGACTTTGTCAACCAGTAAATTGGTTAGCTGACTCTTCTGGGGAAAAATGTTTTATAAGAGTAAAAACATAATATCTTGAAGAGTAAATAAAACTTCCTTTTTAATACCTTATTGCATAGGCGATGTGTTATATTTCTGCATAAAAAATCACAGGAAGGTTTCGACTTTAAAAATACATAGGAAGCCAACTCGAATTCCCATTGTAAGATCTTACTTGAGGGAGCAAAGTCCCATTTTCTTTTCTTACGCCGACAACACGAAAACAACAAAAATGATGATAATCACAGCAGCAGCTGCCACTGACTCGTGCGTGTGACACTATCGTGCGAGAACCCTCTGAGAGGTTTTCACCTATAATTCAGGTAACCCTCACAACAGTCGCATGAGGTAAGTACCATTTTTTGTCTTCTTTTGCAAATGAAAAGACTGAGCAGAAGAGTCTCCGTGACTTGCCCACAGTCACGTGGCTGACTGATAGCAAACGTGGGACTCACACTCAGGAGGTCCTGAGCCAGGGTCTGTGTCTCCCTCCAAGATATTAGACGTCACGCAGCTCAGAGATATCTCTGATCAAACCCCACCGCCGTACCATGCTATATAAACAGTGGGGGGTCTGTACCTCAGAGCTTCCGTTTCCACTGACTGGGTCTCCTGCCAAATCCTTTACTGTTCTATCCTGTGGCCGAGGCGACGATGGTCCCCCAATCTTCCTTCTACTCCCCTGCATTTTCCTCATTCTTACCCTAGTAGATTTTTAAAATCTAGCGCAGACATCTTCATTAAGCATTTCAGGTCAAAATTCTTTTTTCATTTTATGTTATACAAGAATCTGAAGCCTGGCATTGCTGAGCAAGTATCTGTCACTGCGACATGACAGCTCCTTTGACGGGATGTCACCTTTCAGTTAGATTAACGATCTTCTATTGCGTTTACTCATTCGAATGACAAATACCTATTGAGCAACTATTGTATAACAGGCACTGGGTTCTGTGAACCAAAACGCACAAGATAACCTCTCCTTAAGGAATTTACATTCTGGTGTAGGGGGAATGTACGCTAAACACAAAATATAAAAGTCAAGTTTGTCTTCCAGCTGGAGCCCATAGATGAAAGAAAACTGTGTGTGTCACTTCTAGGCTAAGGCAATACACACCCAGCGTTTCTTGCCCCAACTTGTTGAGCAAAGAGACCACAAGTCCGATAGGCTCAGCTACAAGGTAGTTGAAACTTGTCTGCAGCCTGGGTGCCCAAGAAATTAAGAGTGGTAGACACCCTATGCCCCCACTTCCTGCCCCTTCCCCCTAACTTCCCAGGCTCCACCCAAGCACTGAATACTACTCTCAGTCAGACATAAATCCTTGTTGTGTTAAACCACTGAGAGCTTGTGGTTAATTTGTTATGTTGCATAATCTCACCTATACCAGAGAATATGGGTTTTATTCACTATAATTTGTGTGTGTGTGTGTGTGTGTGTGTGTGTGCAGAAAATGCTACCAAATGGAAAGGCAGAACTTTTGTTTCTGAGAGATAATCTAGGATAAAAGTTTTCAAAATGTGGCCTGCTAAGCACCTGCATCAGAATTGTTGTTAACACATCCCAGATGTTAATATACATCTGGGGATGTATATTAAAATGTGAGGTCCTTAGACCTAGGTTTTAGCCCACAGTGTATCTCACACAGATTTTAGACATGTTTGCTGTAATTGCTAACTTACTTAGGGTGGTTTTGAATAAACATTCTTACGAATGCATGCGTTGAAGTCCTCACCTTGGTTTTATGGCCACCTGGGGTGGTTTCCTCAAACTCTTCTCCCAGTTTAAAGGAGATCTCATTATTTTTAAAGATGCTTTTGGTTTTTATAGTGGTCACATCCCCCTCTGTCTTGATGGTCACAGTGGGTTTTGCCAGACAGCCGAGTTTCCTGCTGGCTCTCCCAATTCCTGGAAACCAGGGAAAGGACAAGATGGTTCGATCTGACCTCCGTTAGCTGGATAATTACTTGCTAACTAGGGGGCTCGTGACTTAAACAGACTTAGTACTGAATGACTTCAAATATCTAAAGCTAGTAGTGCCACCATCATATGTGAAAATAATTGTTTTGTAGGAAAAAAAATCAGTCTCTAGTTTTTGTGTAGTGATTGTCACGTTTCTCTAGCCCAGTAATTATTAATTCTGTTGGTTCGTAGACTCCTTTGAAAATTTGATTAAAGTGATGGACTCTCTCTCTTTTTAAAAAATACACCAGTTTAACTGCAAACAACATACTCTGCCATGGATTCTTCCAGAGCTTTAAATCTTCACTTACATTCTTATATGTACACAAATACTAGGTTTGTTTTCTCTATCATGTATTTTGAAATTGTATTTAAAAACATATAACATAAAATTTACTATTTTAACTATTTTAAAGTATAGTACTATTAAGTACATTCACAGTGATTGTGCAACCATCACCACTATATGTAATCACAACCTCTCTCTCTCTCTCTCTATATATATATATATATGTATATATATACTCACACACACACTTTATATGTAGGCTTTTAAAATATATAAATGCTATATTCTAACTATTATTATTCGACTTGCTCATTCCCCTTATCTGTATGCCTTGGAGATTTTTCGTGCACGCTTTTGTCATAGCTTCAGAATATTCTGTAGGATGTATATGCCAAGATATATTTTATCTGTCCCCCGTATTAGTGAGCACCTCTGCACACACAGCTTTACGCAACAGTATTTCTATAAAAACAGCATTCCATACACAGCAGTACCTAAGTCAAACATCTAAGAGAAGATAAAGTTAGAGAAACACTTTATGATAATATGTTTTGTGGAATTCACACTGTGAAACGAGATACCGAGATGTGATCAACTGAATAATGACCCATGCCGATATTTATACCCTAAACCCTGAAACTGGTGAGTGTCATCTTACATGCCAAAGGGAACTTTGCAGATACAGTTCATTTAAGGACCTTGAGATGGGGAGACTATCCTGGATTGTCCAGGTGGACCTTTAATGTAATCACAAACTTCCTGATTTAAAAAAAAAAAAAACAAAAAACAAAAAACAAAACGAAACAGAAAAACGTTTCTTACAAGAAGAGGAAAAGAGATACCGAGGGGAGAAGGCCCTGCGCTGCCACGAGCAAAGGCTGGCCCTGTGCGGCTGGCCACACACCAAGGGACGTCGGCCGCCATCGGAAGCTGGAAACCGGATCTAGTCGGAAGATCCTCTAAAGACTTAGAGCAAACGCTTGCAGAATGGTCATTTAAAAAAATAACTCTAGATTCTTACTTGGGATCATGTATTAAAACCATTTGCCGTTTAGCATATAGCACATGGACGTTTTGTCTGTGTACAGTCACGGTGAAGGACACCAGAGCAGGAACCGTGTCGAGCTTAAGCTAGTTCTGCACAGAACTCTAACGAGGGCTGAATCAGTATTCGTGACATACTGGAGGGAGGGGTCCAAGATGCACCTGACGTCACGCAGGGCAAGTTCTGTGCTGTCCGAGCTCCCATTTTCACTGCGTCAGTAAACGTGACTCACCCAGTTCTTTCATATAGTCTTCAAAATTTTCACAGGAAATAGATTTCCACGTTCCCTGGAACTGATCAACCATTCTGTCTAAGTCGATCTTAAGGAAAAATAACACCATATAGATGAGTACATTGTTATTCCTTGAAATAATATTGGAACCTGTTTTTAATACACTTCTGATAGATAGTGCAGAAAAGTCGGGGGGGAATTAAGGAACTGTAATCCTTGCCATCTTCCCTTAATACCATCGACAGAAGAAAGGCTCTCTCAAGTGTAAGTTGGTCAGGATGAAAATGGAAGCATGGTATAGTTTTTAGCAGGACTAGATATAATTTTTCTCTCTCCAGTCTAGGATCCAAACTAGGTATTACAGAATTTCTCTAGCTTCTTCTGTAAGAACTGACACATATACACACAGCAAAGCATACGGGATGGACCTGGCAGCTACATTTATGACGTAGGACGCTTGTACTCCAGAGCTTTCTCTCCCTTTCTCTGACCAAGGATGATGTAGGAAAAGTCCATTTATTGGTTGTTCGGAGATCTTATCATATTCTCATTCTTGGTAATTTAAACTAAGAACCAGAGAAACTTTATAGATGGTATTTTGGCATTTGAACTAAAGTTAAATTTAGCCCAAGGGGCTAAAACAATCATTTTAAATTACGTGCATATTGAGCAAGAAAATGAAACAGAAAAAATAAAGGAAAGAAATTCTCTCTCTCTCTCTCTCTCTCTCTCTCTCACACACACACACACACACACACACACACACACACACAAGCCTTGTTACTGATGGTTTTCAGATGGCATCTCAACTTCCATAAGCTTAGAGAATCATCATGGCCAAGAGAATACCAAATATTTCTTGTAAATCCCCCTTAACCGAGGCTAGTTTCTGTTCCTTTCAGCTTTGAATGCAACACTCTGATGTCCGGTGATATCTCTAAGAAACTGGAAGAGAGGACAAGAATTATAGTAGCACGTTCACCAAAAAGAGGAGACCGAAAAGGTGAATTTAAAACAGGGACACAGCCTACTCGGGCCATCAGCCCTGAGGACATCACAGTTAATTCTAGGCAGTGCTTGATATGCATACAATGACACAGACTTGTTAAGAACAACTGAAATTATAAAATTCTTTTAAGACAGAAAAGGAGATAGAGCATTTTATAACAATTCCCATTAAAATGTAAATTTCCAGCATCGGTAATGTCTGTAAAGGCACTTACGCATGCCAATGGTCTTACAGATCATTATTGGACTGACATTTATGGAGCAACTAGTATCACACACCTAATGAAGCCTAAGAAATTCTGCACACACCACCGACTTCCCGTCCCAGCTATGGTTGGAAAAGAGATCATAGTTTACTTTTGTTTGTTTCTCTCTCCTGTGTTAGCTAGTTTAACACAGTGATTTTTTTTTTTATCTTAATGTGTACAATTTACAAAGTTATGCCTGCTTGATTGAATAAGCACAAGGCCGAAGCCAGAAAATGACCTACCACTAAAGGTACAAAAGGTATGAAAATTAAGCCAGTCTTCAAATCGAGGTTACAAGATTAATTTATTCTGGAAATTCCTCTGGCACCTACTCATAATTGTCTCTCTTGAAATCCATCGTGTCGTGTCGATTTGAAGACTGGCTGACATCAACTGGCCTAGCCATGCGTCTACTCGACTGCCCACTGCCTTTCTGTGATGGGCGCATTCTGATCTGATGGCCACGAACATGAGTCAAAAGCCTTCACGCACTATGCCCACTCCCTGCAGGGCCTCCACACACCTCTGCCAAACTCGTCTCCAGCGTCTCCGTCCTTTGCCATCTAGACTCCTGACCGGCCTGTGAGGCCACTCTGTTCTCACCTCAGGCCACTCTCAGCTGTGTCCACTGGGACGATTTTCCCTCATCACTGTTTTTCAAGCCCCGTCCTGCCCTGACTGCAACTAACCCGCTGCCCATCGGCTTGCGTCCGCGATGCTTCGGCTGGCCACATGGGACCCCCATGGAGTCCTAGGAGGTGAGGGAGGGGTGCTGGCACACCGTGCTGGGTGACGTGGGGTCTGGGCTGCCTGCTCGTGCGGTCACCTCGTATGTTCCAGTCTTGCTTAGCCTCGATCTCAGATGCACAGCTTCAGACTTCCTTCCGCTGGACCCCTGCTGGGCCACCTGTCTGAGTTTATGTCTCTGTGGGTCTGACAGAACCCAGTCACAATGGATGGTTCCAGACGCATCATCGCTTGGTGCCCTACAGTCAAGAATTCTGTGTCCACGAGGCGCCAGTCACACACCAAGAACTCTTCTTCGAAAAGCATGTAAGTTCCTATCGAAGGTGGCGTGGCCTTGCCCCAAACCTCAGGGGTCTAAAATACTTACTTTCCGGCCCTTTACGGCACCATGTTCGCCAACCCTCAAGTCCGATGATTCAAAACTTGGGATCACAGCCGCTGCTGTGTCCGTAGCTTCTCTCCTACGATAAGAGAGCGGCGGATAACATTTTTGCTTCTGTGGTTTTTTCATCAAGAAAAGACATTTTTATAATTACATCATGGATAAGGTCAACAGAAAATGTAATACAAGGAACCAACCTCTGGCATTTTATAAAAGTCACACGAAAGAGAGATGGTTATTAGTCAAAGAGAGATGAAATATTTTAAAAATCGCTTCAAGTGCCGCAAGGCAGAAAGACACGAGAATGAAAAACTAATTAACTAGGGAAGAGCAGGTAAAAACACCATCCTCTGTCCGCCTCTGTCCGCCTCCTCCTAGGACAGACCCCACCTGCTTAATGGCCCTGTTAGACTCGAAAGCTTTCTTCAGGGGCCAGAGTCTCCTTTCGGTAGCCTTAGCGATGTCAAGCCTTCAGGTTTTCCATGAGGGTCTAACGAATTTAAATTAAAACCACGCTGTAAGAAAAATATCTCGAGTGACTTTTGAAAAGAAAATGTATCGAAAGTTGAGAAAGGCCACCGCAGAGCGCTCGGCGTCGTGGCCAGCGGGAAGCAGCGGGCCGGAGCTGCCTGGCTCTCCTGTCCCGTGGGCTGGGCTGGGCAGGGCGGCCATGGAGCTCGGGAAGGGGGACCCCCCCTGCGGCCGCCGGAAGTGAGGACAGCGGCGTGGCGGGCACTGCACACTCCCGCAGAACCTCCAGACAGCCACCAACGCCTGGACCTGACACTTCCGGCCTCCTAGACGGTGGGAGAAGAAATTCCCGTCATCTTAAGCCACCAAGTGATGACGATTTGTTGCGGCCACCCTGAGAAACTGATAAAGGGAGATGCTAATTTTTAAAAATCTCAGGTCGCTTTATATTGAAAATAAAAAGTTTATTACATTATGTAAAATAACGTTTAAACTTATTAGGAGTTATGTTTACGTCACTGGGTTTTTTGTCAGTTAAAAGTTATGTTTATCAAAGATAGAAGTAACTTTTATAGGCAATAATAATAGTAAGCGAATATAATAGAATAAAGGCTGAATAATAATAGTAAATAATAGTATAATTATATAATAAAATGTATAAATTAAAATTTTTTCTGTAAGTTTATATAATGGAAACACTTTGCTTATTTCTCTAGTTTTTTTCTCCTCTCCCACTCCCCTGCCAAAGTCATACGACTTCTTTTCAGGGCATATTAGACAACGTACTATCTGGACAATGAAACAAGTTCTTTGCTACTGAGAAATCGCTCTACTGTGCTTCAGCGTGATCCAGAGCTCGAGCCGACTGCTGATTTGGGGCTGCTCCTGGCTGGAGGCTGAGTGTTCCCCAGCAATCCTGTGACTCAGACCAATCCCACTAATAGAGGGCCTTCCTAGAGAGACGGATGAGCCAGAGCCGGGGCTTTGATTCAGACCCTGCTGGGTTCCCAGGCTCCCCGTCTTCCTCTTCCCACAATCTGAGCCGTTTGAACCCCACCCGCCGTCTGGCCTTTGTGCTGAGGCCTGTCACACTCTCAGCAGGTTATTGAGAAGCAGCGTTAACCCCAGGGGTTCCCAAGCTTGACTTGTCTTTGAAAAAATGACAGCTCCTGTGTGCCGCCCTGGGCTCTCGGTCGGCATTGTCGAGTAGCGGACCTGGCAAGGTGAATTTTTAGAATTTTCTCCAGGGAGATTGTCTTTACGCGTGAGGCTCAGCGATGAAGGACAAACGCTCCAGACCAGGGCTTCTCCAAGTGGGGTCCGTGGGCGGACAGCAGCAGCAGCAGCATCCGGGGACTTAGAGAGGCGGGCGCTTGGGCCGCAGCCCAGTTGCTGAATCAGAAACCCTTTTGCTGATGAAAAGGAGAGAGATTGTCCCACATTTGGATCAGGATAGATAAGAGATTAATGCCTCCTACGACATGACTAATTAAAGCAGTTGCACACCTGGGGAGGAAGGAAGCAGGCCTACCTGGGGGCACTGAGCCCGCACCGCGGTGGAGAAGGTGCACTGCACCCCAAAATGAGCTGTCGATTCATCTGTAGAAAGAAAGTCCACTGTTCTGTCGATAGGCTTATGGATGACAGATAGGCTACTGTCATCTCCAGTTAAGATAATCGTTTAAAATTTTGACACTTCAGAGTCTAAGAGTCACGATGAAATGTCCACTAGGAAAGAAGGTTGTCATAGCAGGCAGAGCATTCACAACGTCGGCCGCGGGGTCGTAAGCGCACATAACGAATCCAGCGCGTGAGTAATTTATTCTTCTGTCGGTAGCATCAGCCAGAATCTAGAGTGAGTGATGGCATTCCAGGAACAAACGCCTATGGCAAAGCTTCAGCAGGTTCGGTCACCGTGGAGTAGCCCAAAGGAGGTATGGGGACATGTCACCTCATGCTATTTTACTGGTGAAGGTGCACACGGAGGAGACCAGTTTAGTGTCTGGGCTCCGGTTCAGGACAAAGTGCTGACGGCACGCAAATGCAATTTTGAAATTAATTTAGGAGATTGTTGGCAACTGTTAATGACTTCTGTCTATGGATGTCTAAAAACACCGGCAGTTTTGAAAAGCAACAAGATTTGCTCATTCATTCATCTATGAGTATACAAAATTATTTATACTCTGATCAAAAATATGGAAAAAAAAATGCATAATA